GAGAGCCCTGGGGGACACCTATGGTGAGAGTGAGTGATCTGGAGGAGAATCCAGTGGAGGAGAGAGAAAAGAAGAGGTCGGATGGGCGTATGCTGAATTCTAATTCCTGACATAAATTCAGGCCTAATTTCTTCTTCTTTTTTTGTTTTTTTTGTTTCCCATTCTGGGATTCTTTGCTCATAGTTCATGATCTCTGGTTAGTTCACAGGATTTTGTCTTTCGTTGGGCAATATTGGCTCATGTTCTTTGATACGATATTTCTTCAACGTGATTTGGTTTCTCTTTGAGATTTTACTCATCCTCCTTTCTGTTTTTAGGCTATTCTCTGTTGCTTCAACAGTTTACATAGTAAATTTTTATTCATTTTTTCTCTTGGTCTTTTCGGTTTTCTCTTGTGATCTCTGCCACTCACACTTTGGTCCCTACTCCTTACACGGGGAGACAGACACCCCTAGCTGGGCTAGACTTAGCCTCCTTTCTTTGGACAATGTGGAAATTAGTTGAGTTTTCCAGTCTCTTTTCTAATCAGGCCTGGTGTTCTTTATCCCATAGCCTATGATCCTGAACATAGCATCCTTTTAGCCCTTCTTGTATCTCCATCCTCTTTTCACTTATGTCAAAAGATAGAATCAGTGACTGTTGCTTTTTGGGGGGGAGTGCATCAAGAGGGTGAGGGCATTCATTGCTATGAATGATTCCCTCCAGCCAATTCCCCAGTCACAATCCCATGAGTCTGCTTGTACTCATGGCAGTGGGCACAGGGAAGATGGGGAGATACTCTGGGTGAGAACTCTAAGTACTAAGTTCTCCAGAATTAACTCATGAGGTTTTTGTCTCTTTAGTATGTATTCTATCCTTACTTGTAGGTCCAGGTGTGATGTCTATATATTTGGCTCTTAATTCCTTTCTTTTGAGGTTTCAGGGTTGAACAGGTCTGCAGAAAATAACGATTTTTGCCATCTTGCTGGTCAAGACAAAAATTTTCCCAAAGAAAGCCAGAACTATGAATATGCCTGAAGCAGACAGATGGAGGGAACCAAGTGAGAGAAATTTGGAAAGGAGCACAAAGAGTTTATGTAATTTCTCTTTAAACTCCCTATAAAAAGGATAATTAAAGAGAAAGAGGAGGAGAGGGGTTAATTTTCAAAACTACATTATTAAGTAGCAATCACTGAACCTCTGCACCCTCCAAGTTACCTCCTTCCTCCCCTCTAGGTTACAGGCATTCTTTCCTGAGCTTGTAAAAATTCCAGGACACTTGAAAAGAGCCATTAGGAAGCATGAAGTGCCTAGAAAACTGCACCGAGGCTTTTTAGCTGGTGAACGCTCCGCTCCATTGCTTCTATCTCAGTCCATTTTGGAGACCTCTCCCCTTCCCCCAAAACAGAAAGCAGCCTTTCAAAACAGGGCCAGAGGTTTAAAATGAGGGACACCTGACCCTCGGGCCTCTGGGGCTAAAGAAGCAATCATCTTTGTGCTGAGTCAGCAGGAACATTTTTGATCATTTCATTTTATAATTATACTTAACTGGAAGTCAGGGAGTATTCCTCTCTTATATGAACCCCTAGAAACAAAATGTTCGGGTTTAAAAATAAATGTTAAAGAAATCCCACTACATTCTTGCCAGTACTACCTAAGTTTAGGAATTCCTGTTTTTTTCCTGAAGTTAGGTGATGCAGTGGATAAAAAGCAGGGCCTGGAGTTAGGAAAATCTGAGTTCAAATCCAGCCTCAGACACTTACTAGCTGTGTGATTCTGGGCAAGTCACTTTACCCTGTTTGCCTCCATTCCTCATCTGTAAAATGAGCTGAGAAGGAAATGGCAAACCCCTCCAGTATCTTTGCCAAGAAAACCCCAAATGGGGTCACAAAGAGTCAGACACAGCTGAAATGACTGAACAACAACATGAACCAGGCAGTGTGCTGAATACTGAGGATACAAAGAAGAGCAAAAGACAGCCCCTGTCCTCAAGGAGCTTACATTCTAATGAGAGAGCAGACAGACAAATATGTACAAACCAGCTATATTCAGGATGAGTAACAAATGATGAACGGAGGGAAGGCCCCAGAATTAAGGGGGATTGGGAAAGGCTTCCTACAGAAGGGAGGATTTTAGTTGGAACTTGAAGGAAGCCATGCTGCCTCTTCCTTTCTCAAAAATCTTCACTGGCTCCCCTTCAAATACAAATACCTTAGCCTCTGCATAGTCTTAAAAACTCTACAGCCTGGACCCAACTCTACCTGTCCAGACTTACCTCAAGATACTGTCCTGCCTGCACCTTATACTGTAGCCAAACTGGGCTACTTATTCTTCCCCCAACTCGTCCTATCCTCTCTCTCACCTTCATCATCATTATAGCTTTCATTTATATAATGCTTTAAGGTTTACAAACTGCTTTTGTATATATTATGTCATTTAATGCTCACAGCAACTCTGTGAATATGCCTATTATCATCCCCATCTTAAGGATGGGGAAACAGAGTCTGAGAAAGGTTGAATTACTTTCCTGGGTTACACACTTAGGAAAGCATCTGAGGCTGGTTTTGAACTCAAGTCTTCCTGACTTCAAATCTCATGCACTATCCATTGTACCACCCACTTCTGACAAGTGAGATTTTGCTCGTATTTGCCAGGGCCCAGGCCTCCATGTCATTTCCCAGCCTTTTCATAATCTTCCCCCTGGCTCTCTGCCTTTCCAGTATCTCTCTCTGTGGTCCTCCTAATATCCTGACCCTTGAGGTCACACACTGTCTTGCTTGTGTTTCTGTTTCTAATACTTAGCACGGTGTCTGACACGGAGTAAGCACTTAGTAAATGTTTTATCTGCCTGTTTATCCTTTGAAAGAGATCCCACTCATCTAGATGTGAGGGTTCTGCTTTGTTTACATTTCTAAAAGAAATAGTTATATTATTTTAGTCCTACATAATATATAACCAATCAGTAGGCATTCATTAAACCCCTGCTACGCATCAACCACTTCGAGAGTCACTGGACCACCTCCGTTCTATTGAAGTTGCTTTACACGTAAGTCATAGTGCAAGCCAAGGTCCATGCATAAACATAATGAGGCACCCAAAGATTTTTTTTAATTTGAAATAAGTTTTAATATATTCTGTTATAAAACTAAAGCAAACAGTGTTTATTCGTTTTTACAAAGTTCTTTACATAGTGACAGACCCATATTATAAATCCTGAGAAAATGCAGCTTTGAAAAACTGTTGAAATGGGAATTGTTTTTCTAGATATTCTTTTTTAAATTTTTATTTATTTTATTTTTAATTTATGGCATAAAACAAGCATTTTCATACTATAGTATCATTTCAAGAAATGATTACATGTGAAATTATAAATTTATTTTATAACTTGCTATTCCATTTAAATAAATAATAAAGTTACACTATAAATTTCTTTTTTTCTTTCTATTCTTCCCCCCCAGTTACTTATATGCTTATAGATTTGACAAAGTTCCTTATATACTGAGACATAAGACCTTTACCTGAGAAACTGTCTACAAAAATATTTTCCCAATTTTCTGCTTTCCTTCTGATCTTGGATACATCTGTTTTATTTGGACAAAATCTTTTTAATTTTAATGTAATCAAAATTATCCATTTCACACCTAACTTTGCTCTCTATCTCTTGTTTATTCATAAATTGTTCCCCTATCCATAAGTCTGATAAGTAATATGTTCCATGTTCTTCTAATTTCCTTGTAATATCTCTCTGTATATCTAGGTCACGTATCCATTTTGACTGTATCTTGATCAATGATGTGAGATATTGGTCTATACTTAGTTTCTGCCATACTGGCACCCAGAGATTTTAAATAACAGGTCCAAAATTACATGGACAATGCCAGTTACAAGCATGAGTGGATACTCCCAGTGCCTATTCTTGGATCTCAGAGCCAGCCTACACATACAGCTTAATTTCATCACTAGTACTTAATTAATGGCCAGGAAAGTTAGTTAACAAGCATGCATTAAGAGTCAACTTACTTTGTGCCAGCAGCTGACCTAGGTGCTCAGAATACAAAGAAAGGCCAAAATAAATAAATAAATAAATGAAAAGACAGTCCCTGCCCTCAGGTAGCTCACTTCATGGTCAAATGGGAGCGACAACATGAAAACAACTATGTGACATTTAAAAAGTTCAAGAGACATAGTTTCTGGGTAATTCAATGATTTTATTAATAAGGCTAGCGTGTTATCAATAAAAAAAGGTCAGTGGCACTCTTGAATGCCAAAGACCATCATGGCAGGCCCTTGGAAAAGTGGGTGTTCTAAAGGAGGACAATCAACTTTGATTAGTTAACAATTAATGAGAAAATAAATATTATAATGAGGGGTTGGGCCTATTCTAATGAACTTTGATGATGTCACTTACTTCTAAGTTGCCCCCAGCCTTAGGCAATCTATTCCCCACCCAAACCTGGGTAGAGAAGGTTGGGTGGGGTCTGACTGAGATTGAGGAGAAAGTTAATTCTACCTTCAAAAACTAAGCTTTTGAGATGAGGACTTTAGAAAAAGGGAGGAACTCTGGATCTCCCCAAATCATTGGTTACCAATAATCATTTTTCTCAACTATATACAAACAAAATATAGACAAGACAAGTTGGAGGTCATCAACAGTTGAAAGGCACTAGAGTTAAGAGGGGCTGGTCAGGTAAGGTTTGAGCTGGGACTTGAAGGAAACCAAGAGATGGAGATGAGGAGGCAGAGCATTCCAGACACAGGGGAGAGCCAGTGAATCATAGCACATCGTCTATTTACTGCCTCTTATTCAGTTTGTAGTAGATCCTGGCTGGTAGAAGCAAGCACCCACACTTCACTATGGTTCTGTGTTTCATGCATCAGAAAGCATGGTAGACATGACCTGGCTGGCTTCAGCCTTCTCCAGAGGAAATAAAGGGGTTGGGTGGGGAGCAGAGTCATATACTTGCCCAAATCAATTAATTCCTTGTCTTTTTCTGCCTTTCCACCCTTTTCCTTCTTCGTAGGAAGCGTCGTAGCCATTACCGTGACAGTGATTGCTGTGGTGCTGCTGGTGTTTGGAACAGCCGCCTATCTGAAAATCAGGTAACATTTGCTTTGCTTTCCCTCAGGAATTGAACCATGTTTCCTAGCTCTGAACTGTTGGTGAATAACAAGCAACCAAAAATAATGTATTAAGTACCTACTATGTGCCAGGAACGATGGGATACACAGAAATTTTTTAAAAAACTAAGTCCCTGCCTTCAAATGGCTTATATTCCAACATATAAGCAGCTATGTGCAAACAAAATATAGCCCTGAATAAATTAAATATCCTCTTAAAGGGAAAGTACAAACATTTGTTAAGTTTCTTTGAAGTCTCTTTGTTTCTCAGATCCCAGAGAGGTCAGCAGGAATTGACCATTGGCAGGGTGGTAAAATAGAACTAAAATTAGCATTTCATCTTATAACATCCAGGCATAGAATAAGACAATAATACTGTGGCAAAAAAAATGATATTATGGCAAAGGGATGAAAGATTAGGTCATTCTGTCTTACTGGAGATAAAGGAAATGTTTCTAGGTTGGGTTCCATCTTGGGATGGGAGACCTTCTACTGCCAGACATTAGATGCCCCTCAAGATGAGCCCCATGGACATTCATTCTAGTGGCCAGGCCAATATAGGACCATTGATTAACGTACAGATTTTGCCCACAACCATCTTTCCTCTCCCTCAGTGAAGTTGTCTACATTCATTCAATGTTCTCCCAGAACCAATTCAAGGAACACTGGTCAAAGCATCTACTATGTAGAATTAACTCTGCATTAACCCTCCTCAACAATTCAGTATTCAGGATATGTCTCATTCAAGGGCAACTTGGTGGCAGAGTGGCTAGAGTACAGGGCCTGGAAGTCAGGAAGAAGACTCATCTTTATGAGTTCAAATATGGCCTCAGAAGCTTGCTAGGTGTGTGACTCTGGGCAAGTCGTTTACCCCAATTGCCTCCCCCCCCGCAACACCTTCTGTAAGAAACCATCTTCCAAGTTTCAAACATCAGACTTAGAAAAAACTTTTAGCACATTGCCCATTTCTTAGTTGGGAATTTCCTGAACCAAAACAGCACCATGGACAAAGCACTGGACTTACCGTCCATATCATGCCTCAGACACTTTTGAGCTATATGACATTGAGCAAGTCATTGAAACTCAATGGGCCTAGCTTCCAACTCTGCAAAAATAAAGGAGCCGTCCTCAAAGGTCCCTCCAAATTCTGAATCTATGATCATTACAGATGTCCTGAAGGGACTTTCCATGCCTGGAGAGTCTGCAGCAAGGTTGATACCTCAACTACCTCCACCAAATACACACACACACACACACACACACACACACACACACAGCCCCATCTCACCAAGGATGTATTTCAGGACTTCTTAAATGGGTAACTATAGCCTTTTTTTCATATTTATATAACTGTGTTTCCATATAATTGGTTTCCTGTGTTATCTTACATATTTTATTTAAAACATTGGAAGACATGATTCTGAAAATGTGTCCATAAGCTTCACCAGACTGATAGAGGCATCTGTAACATACACATACACACACACACACACACACACACACACACACACACACACAGACAAAATGTTAAGAGCTCCTGGTGTAGAATCTCTGGCATCGGTCTAGCCTAGAGGAAACATTCTACTGGCTGTTCTAGCCAAGAATAAAGATAAATACAAACCATCTCAAACCAGTGACAAGGGGTAGAGGACAAAAAACTACAGTAACAATTGCTATCATTTTCTGTTTTGATTTGCTGCCCCTCCCACTCCCCAGATAGAAAAAGCTATAAAATAAAATCTACAAGTTTCATTAACAGGCCACTTAAATTTGTTCTAGCTGCTACTGATGTCTGATTAAATTTTTATAAAATTTCCAAGAGAACAGAATAGTTTTTCTGAGCCAACTTTATCCCAGATGGGAAAGGTCAATGAAATATCAAACTGAAATGACTCCTTTGCACAATTCTTCCTCAGATGATGATGACAGTTCTCATGGGGATGGAAATGGAGCATCATTATTGATCTCTGACACTGAAAACTGAAATGACCAGATATCTCATGCAGAAATCCCCTAAGGAAAACCCCTTCCTGCTACTCTATAAACAGCTTGGGCAAAAGAAACTATGAGTTAAGGCCCTCACATATCTTAAGCCCACAATATTATCCTTTCAAGCATTGTTTTAACAGCCTCTAGGACTTCCTCTGTTCCTCGCCTCCCCTTCACTAATCAAGAGTAAGTTACTCATCCACATAGGCTTTTATCCAATACTTGGAAAATTATTAGTAATTCAAAGGTATTTTTCCCTAAGGTTAGATATTGCCTCAACTGGAAATTCATTCCCCTTTCTCCTTTTCTCCAAATATACAAAAAACTACGGCATAGTAGTCTGTTTTCTGAGACTTGTTAGTTTACGACAACTGATGTCCCCTACCAAAAATCAATGAAGATGACTTTTTTCAATAACCAAATGAAAATACCACTGGCCTATGGGCCAGAAACCTGTTAAGTTCTACTAACGCTTCCTAGCTCTCTTTCGGTCATCTTTTACACTCTCTCAGCCTCAGTTTTATCATCTGTAAAAATGGGTTGTAATAATATTCACATCATTATGCCATAAGAGAAATGAAATAATGTGCATAAAGCAGTCTATAAATGTTAGTGAATTTTCTTTAAGTTTACACTTGTGATTTCGCTGATGTGAAGAACTCACAGTGTAGAAATTCTCTACTTTAATGCAAAATAGCATTTAGGCCATAAACTAGAGATGTTGAAAACTGTTTGGGATAAGTGACCACCCAGGGGTAATATAGCTAGTATGTATCAGAGGCAGAGATTAAAACCAGGGCCATCTCTCTGTCCACTCTGCCATATTAACTCTCCAGCAAGGTTGAATAGCAGATAAATACTGGGCTTGTAGTCAAAGGATCTGGTTTAAAATTCTGACTCCATTATTTTCTGTCCATGTGACATAGGGTAAATATTTTGACCTCTTCAGATCCTGGTTTCTTCAAAGGAAAGAGTTGGATGCTAAGACTTCTGAAGTCCCTTCCATTCTAAATCTATTATCATTTTTAACATACTTCAATCTTGACTCAGTTTGAAAATACCACTTAAGAGAGTGTGGATCTTGAAAATGCTATTTAAAGTGTATGGATGTGAAAAATAAATCACTACTCTTAGAGAAACTATTCCTAGATGATGGGTTTTAGAATTAGAGACAAATTAAAGAATACTGAGTCCAACCCCCTCATTTTACAGAGAAGAACCCTATAACTTCCTACTCTAAAGCTACCCACCCTTTGCCCTGTGCCCTCTGGAATGCCAGTTCCATTCATAACAAATTTGCTTTCATCTTAAACCATTCCCTTTCTCTTTTTCATTCCTTCTCGCACTCGCTGAGACCTCATGATGAAATGATACCCTGACCACCCCTTTCCAACACTGGTTGCACATTCATTCGCGCCCCTGACTCATTGGTCGTGGTGGGGAATTCTGAATATTCCTTGGCCCCTTCTTGCCACCATCGCTCAATAACCTCTCCTCCTTTGAGGCTTATTCGATCTTTATCAGCTAATCGAGATTCTGGTAACCGCTATCTATCATCTTCTGAGATCCTCTCTTTCCTTCCTTAATGAATTAAATGCCAGGCTCCTAGACCTTTCCCTCCTCCCCAACTCCTGGTCCCATATTATGGGACTTCAGCATACATATTGATACTGTTTCAAATAACCTCACCTCACCGTTCTTCAATTTACTCATTTCTCATGACCTCCTCCCCTACCCCACCGCAGCCACACACAGAGTTGGTCATACCCTGGATCTTGCCATCACCCTCAAGCACTCCCGTTCTATATTCATGAACTCTGAAATATTTGATTTATCATGATCTATCATCATTCCACCTTTCCTTCTGCCTTGCCACGTCTAACACGATCTTTATCCTCTCCTTTATTTCCAATCCTTCCACACCCCTCTGTTCTTTCCCAGAAGATCAAGCTTTCACTGGCTACACTCCCCTTGGTGAATTAGGTCATTTCTGGATGCTTCTTTACTCTAGAGTCGCATGTCCCCTTGCTCTGTTGTTTTTCATGCCCTGCCAGAGGCCAGCCTTGGATTATCCCACCATCCGTTGCCTTCAAGCATATTCTTACACAACTGAATAGAGCTGGAGAAAATAACCAGTTTTTGTTACACTACCTTAACTGCACCTTCACTGTGGCAAGGCAATCCTTTTATACCTCTCTAATTGATGCACTATCCTTCTCAGCACAATGACTTTGCTAAATCTTTTCATCCCTCCTCAAACCTCACCTTGCTCCCCCTTCCCACACCCTACCAGCTGAGAAATCTGCTTTATAATTCACTGAAAAAATTGAGACCATTTTCTGAGAGCTCCCTTTTCTCCCTCCTTCATCTTATATCACTCAGATGCCTTCTGCTACTATCTCTTCTTTTGCCCCTGTCCTAAATGAAGAGTCCTTACCGAGGCTAACCCCTCTACCTGCTCAAGCCATCCCATTCCATCCCATCTCTTCGAATAGATTGCCCCTTCTGTTATCCAAGCTCTCATTAATCCTCAATGTTTCCCTACCTACAGACTGCTTCCTACCTGCAAACATGCCTATGTCACCCCCACTCTCAAAAAACCCCTTCACTTGATCAATCCATCCCTGTTAGCTTTTGCCCCATATCCTCCCTTTCATAACTAAATTCTTTGAAAAAGTCATCTATAATTGGGGACTCCCTTTCCTCTTCCTCTCTTCTTAACTCTCTACACTTTGGCTTCTGATCACATCATTCCACTGAAACAGGTATCTCTAAAGTAACTAGTGATTTCTTAAATGCCTAATGAATGGATTCTTCTCAATCTTCATCCTTTTGATCTCCCTATAGACTTTACAGACACTGTTGGTTACCATCTTTCCCTTAATAGGAGGAGTATACAAGCCTTTTTCTAGGTTTTCATGACACTGCTCTCTCCTGGTTCTCCTCCCACTTGTCTGACCACTCTTTCTCAGTTTCCCTTGCTTGATCTGCAA